GATATTGGAAGAGCCCTCCATCTTGTCAGCATCTCGCACAGATCATGCAAAAGTACATTTTTGATATGGATCAGATCAGAGCAGTGTATTGTTTGACTTTTGTATTCACTCAAACTGATTTTGTGATTTACCTGTAAGGCCCTCTTTGGAATAAATCTAATCATTTTAAGTTGTCTTCTATGTGTACACAGTTTTGCTGGTCATGGTGGGAGAATTTACTGAATGTAAACATGGTAAACATTTTAACTGGTGTGTTTTAAAGAACAGTTTATCATTTTATTTGTGACAGCAGCCCACAGGGTTTCATTAATTATCAGTAAACTGTATAACCGAATGATTTATTTCAGCATGTAACTGTTAAAACCTGCTTGAACTTTTTAAAGTCGTGTTGTATTTGTGAGACAGCGTTTTCTCTGTGAACAGCTTTCTCTTCCCTCTCAGGCTGAAGATGACCTGAAGGCTTTACTTCTTTAACTCGACATCTTTATTAAATACCAGCAGCAGCCACTTGAACTTCTCCTTTCTGTTAACCGGCGCGTGTGTCACACTGATAAGTGTCCCCCTGTAAACAAAGGCCGGTAGGAAACATAAATAACACTCATCCAAATACTGCATCCAAAGCAGCAACGTAAAAGTCGGGACAGTGTTCAGTGCATCGTGTTTGTAAAGGAGTAAACATCAGATAACCAGTGACTTCACAGACACAATAAACTCGGTTATTTTCTGTCTGGCCTCGGAGCACATTTACACCGATATGACGGTGGGACTGTTTCCTGTTGATGACCCATCTTCTTTAAACTGCTTTTATAAAAAAGAGATCAGTTTAATTGTTTTGTGATCACAGTTAAAGTGAAGTACAAAGCTCCATTGTTTAAGATTTTACAAATTGAAAAAATAAAAGCCTGTTCACAATTGTGTTCAAAACGTATTCAACTTTGACCTGTGTTTTTGCTTTGTGACATCATGGCTATAAAAACTGTACTGAAAATGTTCCAGAAATCTGTGTGTT